CTATTAGCAAAAAAATAAAAGACACCAAAATCCGGATAGAGGTAATTATTGTTTAACGCGCATAAAGTTAATGCATCGGTGTTAATTGTATTACTGTATTATAGAATATAGATACATGTAAATAAAAAGAAGAGCGAGAGATTCGAATCCAGCTATTCAAGCTATTACTGAAAAAAATATCATATGTACAAGCTGCTAAATGTTATAATGTCGTGAAATCTTTTTGACAGAACACAACGGTCGAGGAGCGCCAAGAAAGTTGAGCAGCATCACTGATGCTAATATTACAGATTTAATAAAATTTATGAGTGATATATGCTTTAGCTTAAATAAAAAAGACGTGTTTATTGTTGTTGAAAATTATTTAAAAGAACCAAACTAATTTATTCAAAGACGGCAAACCGACTAGAAAATGGTACTCCGGTTTCATAAACAAACATCGTAAAGAAGAAAAGTAAGCGGTATTTAAACTATTAGAGTTATGGCCACACAACCAACTATAATTGACAATTAGTTGCAGCAATTTGCAGCAGTATATAATAAACATGATTTAGGCGATAAACCGTTTCAAAAACTCAACTGTCATGAGTCTGGTTTGCAATTTGATCAAGGCAAAGTCAAAATTATTTGTAGAATAGAAACAAAAAATCCTAAAAAGCTAGCACCGTCAAATGAAAAGCAAATGACGACAATCTTGACTTGTTGTGACGCTTTCGGCAATTATTTACCTTATCAAATAATTTAGGCTAACATATTATGAAAGACTGGTGCAAAGGTGGTGCCTAGAATGTTTATTATAACAGTAGTAGTTCAAGCTAGATGGAATCCGAACATTTTTTATCGTGGTTTAAAAGAGTTTTTTTACCTCACGCAAATAAACTTTTTGGTTTTAAGTTCTAATTTTTGATGGCCATGCTTCACATTTGAGCTGAGAGTTAAAAAAAAAGCTTTAGAAAGCTATATTTTACTTTGGCGTTTGCCTGCTCATACAGCCATTTACAGCCATTAAATGCTGGCGTTTTAAAACAGTAAAAGGCGAATGAAAGCGATTAGTGGAAGATGTTTGACTAAAAATCACTTTCAAAACCTGATAAATTGACATTTTCCGGCCATATTTAAGGATCTTATCCAAAATGGTGGGTTTAAACCTGAAAATGTAAGGAGTGATTTCGAAAATACTGGTATATATTCACTCGATCGTTCACATATTTCTTCCAAAAAAAACTTCTATCGGTGCTGTGTTTCAAGCTGTCGAAAACAAAAATATTGAAAGTTTATTTGATTTTTTAACGGTATCTAGTCCATTAATTTTGGGAAATGAAACCAATACACCTAACACGCCATCAAGAATGTCAAATACATCTAACACACCATCAAAAATGTCAAACCGTGAAGTTTTGCTTAAAAACTTTGCTACTTTAAGTAACGCCGTTCAACAAGTCGGAAAAAATATAAACAAATCAGTGTTAAATATGCTTCGAGATCAATTGACACCAATTCTAAATAAAAGAGTTCAAAAAAGGTGAGAAAATAAAGGGACCAGCTAATTACAATATGACTTCGGCGGATGCCATAGCTTACAATAAATCTGAACAAGCATCAAAAAAACAAAAGTTAAATAAATAAAAAAAAGATTGCCAATGCAACTCAAATAACACAAAATGTACAGAAAAGAGAAGAAAAAAGTTGAAACAAATTCAGTCGGTTTAAACACCAGATACAAAAAGGTCGAAAAACAAAGAATCAATCAAAAGACACAAAATTACCTCAAGCTTAAAATAGTATTTTAATATCTGATGATCATCTTTGTTGTTCTTGCGAAAATTATTGGGCGCATAGCTTAGATAACCATCCAGAATTAGAAACATAGACACCTAATTCCGGATAAAAACAATGCTTCTAAAAAAATAAAAAAATAAAAAATTAAATTACAAAAACAAAGTTTTTTTATATCTTCGATTTGTCTTGTTATGAAGTTTATTTATTTAAAAAAATTATTCTTAAGTTTTTTATAATGAGCGAGTTATGATAATTTAAGTAACAAACCATCCGTAATTAGGGGGTTTTATGGTACAAGGAATACAAAAATTTATTTGAAAAAATTAAAAAAAATTCAAAAAAACTTTATTATTTAAAACAACTTTAAAAAAAACAAAGGTGATATTCAAAAAACATGGAATATATTAACAGAAATAATAAGGAAAAACTATACAAAATCAAATAATTTATCTGATAAATTTATCATTAACAAAACTGAATATATCGATAAAATCTCTATCGCTGATAATTTCAATAGTTATTTTGCTAACATAGGCCTCAACATGGCTTCCAAATAAAAATGGCTTCCAAAATTAAATGCTCTGATAATTCCTTTTGAAACCTATATTACAAATCAACCTTTTTGTTTAAATAATTTTTCTGAACTAAATCATGATAAACTAAAAAAAAAAAAAAAACTCGCTACAGATGAAAAGACTACTGGGAAAGACGACATTTGTAGCTATATAGTTGTAAACGTGTTTCCGGTGATAAACCAACTCATCTATGAAATATTCAAGTCTTCAGTAAATGCAGGATCTGTTCCGGATAAATTAAAAATAGCAAAAATTATCCCAATATTAAAAACCAAGGACTCATTTACACTAAATAACTTCAGACCTATTTCAGTTCTTTCGGTATTTTTAAAACTTTTGAAGAGAATGATATACAAGAAACTATATAAATATCTAGTAAATAACAAAATCTTAAATGAAAAACGGTTTAGTTTCCATAAGTAACATTTAAATGAACATGCAATTCTTGATCTTATAACTAATATAAATGACTCCTTTGAAAACGAAATATACGTCCTTGGAGTCTTCATTAATTTATCTAAGGCTTTCGACACAGTAGATCACGCCTTCCTAGTTGGAAAAATGGAAAAATATGGGATAAAAGATGTTGCTCTTAACTGGTTCAAAGGTTTTTTGCTTAACAAAAAACAATGCGTTCATGCTCATCAAAAAAAAATACTCAAAATTACTTAAAACAAAATGCGGTGTCCCTCCCAAGGTTCCATTCTTGCGGTTCTCTAATTTTTAATATACATTAACGATCTCCTTAAAGCCTCTAGTAAACTAGATGTCATAATGTTTGCAGATGATACTAATTTATTTTATGCATCCTCGTCTAAAGCAGAACTTTATGAAACTACAAATACTGAACTTGTAAAACTAAACAATTGGTTTAAATCGAACAAATTATGGCTAAACAAAGGAAAAACAAAATACATTCTTTTTTATTCTGACCAAAAAAAAATACCATCCAATTCACCTTTGCTAACTATAGATACTAAAGAAATTGAGTGAACCTAAGCAACTAAATTTATTGAAAACAAAAACATGCTGTAAAAGAATAGTTTATAATAAGGATAGACTCTCGCCTTCTAAGCCACTATTAAAAAACTTGAAAATAGTAAATGTATATAAAACAAACGTATTCCAAAATCTGATGTTTATGCTAAAATATAAACTTGGACCTATTCCACCTCACTTTTCAAAGAATTTCTTCCGAAATAGCAAAAATAACACAAGAGGAACGGGAAACTTCAACGTACCTTTAAAAAAAACTGCTCTCTCGCGCTTTTATATTTCATACCGTGGTCCCTATCTATACAACAAATTAAAATCTAAAAATACTTAACTGAATAACTTAAATTCTCTGAAAACTTTTCTAAAAGATCTCATCTTAAACATTAATAATTAGAAGAATTTTTGTTAATCCGAAAATCTTAAAATTAGCGTATAAACTAACTTTGTATCGAAAATATACAATAAAAACTCTTAATTATAAAAGATACAAGTACTAACATATTTATTTGTATTGAAATTAGATTTGTTTAACTTCTTTTTTGTCTGCTTTTTTTTTTTTCTTCGCATTTTTATTTTTATTCTATTGAAACTGATGTGTGTGTGTGTGTGTGTGTATGTGTATGTGTATGTGTATGTGTATGTGTATGTGTATGTGTATGTGTATGTATGTATGTATGTATGTATGTATGTATGTATGTATGTATGTATGTATGTATGTATGTATGTATGTATGTATGTATGTATGTATGTATGTATGTATGTATATATATATATATATATATATATATATATATATATATATATATATATACTAGGGTGGCCCTTAAAACAACTTTTTTGAAAATCACCTGCTCCCACGTCCTAAATGTGTTCTATCTAATACAAAAACACAAGGTTTAAAATTTTTTCAATAAAAAATATTATAAAGGGTCCCTCAAGACCCTCAAATATTTAATATTCCCTAATATTTTCAAAAAAAAAGTTTTTCAAAAATATGTCAACCTGGTACTCAAATGACGCGAAATTAAGTAAAAATTTCAAAAATTATATTTATTTTAAAAATATTTTAACTTATTTATCAAAATTATCATAAAAAAACATTAAAAACATAACATTATTTTTTAAGTAATAAAACCAAAAACAACAATTCTTTCCAAAATTATTTTTGAAATTTTTCTATAATTTTACCTCATTTGAGTACCAGGTTGACGTATTTTTAAAAAACTTTTTTTTTGAAAATATTAGCGACCTATTAAATATTCGAGGGTCTTGAGGGCCCCTTTAAAATATTTTTTATTCAAAAAAATTTTAAACCTAGTGTTTTTGTATTAGATAGAACACATTTAGGGGGTGGGAGAAACCGCAATGTTACGCATTGCGGTTTCTTGAAGATAAAACCTCCGGTCTTCTGTAAAATTCCCGCGTTCTTTATAATATAATATTCAATGCTCTTCAGTATTATTTTATATATTTTTTGTATAACGCAATATTGTGGATATTTTATCATTTTATTATACTCTGTAAACGATTTTTATTATATATTACGAAGTTGTAATGATTAAAGAACAAAAAATTAAAAGAAAAAAAAAAAAAATTAATTTAATTTTTTTAAATAAGTTTTTAATGTCATATTAAATAATAAAATTAATGTAGTTTGAAATGATTTAATGATTTCAGTTGATAAACTGCTTAAAATAATAAACAAATTAAAACAGTTAATAGGTTAAGTTATACACTCAAAAGTTTAACAGATTTCCAAGTCAGCTGCTTCAATACTTTTCACTGTCTCATCTCTCTTATATAAATTCATAATAAATTTTTATTAAGCAGTTTTATAAATACAAAGTCTCATGTTTAAAACTTAAACCATGTTTTCTATCTGCCGGTATCTGAATAACTGTTACTTTTTCCACAGATTTTTTCATTATTTTTTTTTGTCGCAATGTATTACTAATTTACGTTCAATTGAGTGTTAACTAAGTAAAGAATGACAGTGATCGTTAAAAAGGGTACGACAATGACGAAGATCTTTTTAGACAATCTTTTTCTAAACAATTGGTCTCGTTTGATCTTTTACAAACTTCTACTGATGCAAATTTCTTAAGTCTTGAATTAAATTTGAATAATGTTTGATTTATTCGCAAACTTGTAGGTTGATTTGTGTCAAGCATTTTTTCTTCATCAATATCTTCAGACAAAATATTTTTTGTCGGGATGCAATTGAAAGATTCTTTTAAGGTTTTATTTGTATTAAAATGAAACTTTTCATTTGAAGTTTTGCGTTCTTTGTTTGTGATAGCATTTTTACTTTTTTTAAGTTTACAGCTAACCCATTCGAATTTATTATTTTGAAATGAGTGACTCAAACTTGTTTGATCCTCGAAAGACTTAGGTTTTATATAACTTGAGTCGGATTTTATGCTGGTAGTGTCAAGAGTCGAGTAGATAACGTTTTTTTCTTTTTTTTTTTCAAGCGGTTTTCCTTTTATATTAAAAAAAAAGTTTGTTAAAGATGATTTTTTAACACCTTTTTTAGGGTTGGGTTCTAGGTTTGTTGAGCTTAACGAGAGTTCATGGTCTGGCAAAGTTTTGTCATCATCAATATCTTGTTTACTCTCTGAAACATTAAATAAATTAAATCTAGTAAATTCATTTTTAAGTTTCTCTTGAGCTTCAATAATTTGCGCACACTTTTCATTGTTACACTGAATTTTATTGTTATTTTCACAATTAATATTATTGTCATTGTCACACTTGATTTTATTGTCATTGTCACACTTGATTTCATTGTCATTGCCGCACTTAATTTCCAAGTGATTTTCACATTCGATTTCATTGTCATTGTCACATTTGATTTCATTGTCATTGTGACACTTTAATTCATTGCCATTATCACCCCCAATTTCATCTCCAACAACTCTAGAATATGTTCGAGATTCTTCAAAAAATTTAGTGTTTAGTGTGTGCCATTTCTCTTTTACGTTACCAAAAGATATTTGTATAAAATTTTTTTCTTTTTTATTTTTTAAAGTATCCTCAAATGAATGCGCTCTTACCTTTTGATCTTTAATTACCTCTAAATTATTTATTGAATGTCTATTAGTACTGCAAAAACTGTCATCTTTTATTTTTAAACTTTTTTTAAAAAGTTTTTCAACATTTTTAGTCTTACTTAAATCCTCCTTATGACTCGACTCGATTGGACTCGATTCCACTTGGTTCGACAGTAATGAAAATTTAGCCGAATTATCAAAAGTCTCCTTTTTTATGGCATGATCAATGTTAGGTGCTGATTCGTTTTTAATCCTTGTATTATTTACCCATTTCTTAAAAAATGGTCTGGCAATTGTGGTTCCAGAAGGGGTTTCTTTTGTTTCTTTTTGGTTTTTTTTGGCGTCAATTTTCTCACTGTTTTTTTTGTAACTAAACTTTTTTTCTTCAAAACAACGTTTACTTTCATTATAAATAATTATCATTGGTACGCCTTGTTTTTTCTTTATATAAGATGTTTGCTGCTGCTCTAGGTTTTTTTCGCTTGGATTTTCATTGAATTTACCGTAATTAAAAATGCCATAGTTTATCCCTTTGCATATACCTGATCCTATTAGGCTGCCACAAAAACCTCCAACAACAGCACCAACGATTGGGACTGGAATCAACGCCTGTCCTATTATTGAGCCGGTTGTTCCGCCGACAAATTTCAGACTAGATTCAAATACGGTTTTTTTTACTTTATTGTTAAATTCTTTTTCCGACATTTCACCTTTGTCTCTCCTTCGCTTTGCTAAATAAATTGACGCAGAAGAAAATGCAACGTCAACAACTCCACTTATTGCTGCACCAGCAACTGCATTTCCTAAGGCTTGTACAGCGGTCTCTATACCTAATTAAAAAAAATTTAAATAATAAAGAAAATATAATTAAATTTCAATTAACTTAAAAAAAAAAAAAAATTAAAACCTAACGTTGCAGTGTTGTAAGCTGCTTCCTGTGTTATTTTAATTAGTTTACTTTTGAAACCACCGCTGTTAACAATGGCAGCAACGTAGCAAGCAACTGCTATATCAAGTAAGATATCCGTAAACAACTCTCTGTTTGCTCTTAAGCTTAATACAGCATCAAACTTAGTTGCCATATCAACACAATAAGAAAAATTTAAAAAAAGTAAATCTCCTTGCGAAAACCAGTTCCCAGAAAAATAACTATAAAGAAAAACTGAAAAAGAGTGCAGGTCGTCTGGCGGAATGTAGATTGTTATTTGTAAAGTATTGAAGCAGTATCCAATGTTGTTCTGTACCAAACAATTTACAAAATTAGTAAAAAGTGAGTTATTTTTAAATATAAATATGCAGGTTGTAGAAGGTTTGGCAAAGTTATTTTTTTTCTGCTGAGTTAAAGCCTGTACGCGTAAGTTAAAAGTAGAAACTTGGGTTGTTTGTCTAAACCCTGGTCCAGAAGTATTCTTTTTTATTCGCAAACTAATAAAAAAAAATTTAAATAATGGTGAATAGGAATTGAACATTTTATTAGATGAGCGTTTCTTTTGAAAACTAAAAACTTCACTGATCGTGGGATTGTAATAAGGTCCAATATTTCTCTTGCATTTGCAATTATAAGGTTCTTTGATTTCATTGGCGATTCCAAAATTTGGAGCTTTTGGTTTAATTTTATCATTGTATTGAACTTCAAAGTGGTTCTCATAAAAATCCTCTGGGCGGCCTTTGTAATGGCTTCTGCAATGGTATTCACAGCAGTCTTCACAATGGTATTCACCATGGTTACATAGTTTAGATAAATGCAGGCTATTTAAAAGATTTAATGACGAATAAACTTTGAAAACTGACAAATCCGATGATTTAAGACAAATCAAATGTTCCATAATTTTATAAATTTCTACAAACTTATTATCAGTGAAATGTTCGCCAATTTCTAAGTTTTTATTGTTTTCCACTTTTTTATTTTTATGTTAAAATATTCTAATTACCTACATCTTTATTTATTTTTCTTTGTTTATTCTCTAAACATCCTCTTTTTTTCCCAGCTCTTTTCATATTTTTTCGCGTGATAAGAAACAACAAGCAATTTTCGTCACAGACATTAGCTTATTCGAAAAAATTTTTTTGTTCGTTTTTATCAATTGAATTTTGAGTTGTCTTTTTTTCAAATTTGTTTGCTTAAACGATTTAGTTCATTACTTCAAGATTGCCGCTCAAAATGGATTTAGTTTTCAATACTTTATTTCGTAAAAGAAAGCTGAGCTCTTTAAGACATCTGGTTGAAAACCATAAGATAATAATAAATAAGGATAAATAATTTAATAAACTTATGGAGAAACCTTTTAAAATGTTTATTTAAAAAATATATATACAAAATATACAATTCTGTAAAAACTTCATTATAATAACTTTATTTATTGCGATTGCTATTATTATTATTATTATTATTATTATTATTATTATTATTATTATTATTATTATTACAGTGATTATTTACAAAAATAATGTTTATTTTAATTATAACTTATATGTCATTATAAGTTTGTAACTATGTTAAATGTCTACCAAAAAATAATAATAAATTTAATAAAATTTATTGTATTAGTAAACTAAAATTAATTTTTATAAAACTAATTGCAGACTAAATGACAGTATGCATAAGCAGAATAAACACAAACATATTTGTAGAAAAGTTTTTCTGGTATGCTATACACCTAAATGTTTTGAGAGTCTTTCTAACAATATCAACAACAAAAAGAAGTTTTTCCTTTTATAATTTTTATATTGATAATAGTTGTTACAATAATAACAACAATAAAAATAAAAATAAACAATGATAAACAAATACAATTAATAAAAAACCAATGGTTGATAAAAAAAAGTGTCACTCAAACAGATATCTTATCAAATTATTATTAAATAAAAATAATAACATTAACTATACTTTAAATGTAATACTATAAAGAATATAAAATTATGAAGTATATAAAATTAGAAAAAAATATAAAATTATGAAGTATATATATATATATATATATATATATATATATATATATATATATATATATATATATACATTTTTTAATTTTACAAAAAATGGTTTCCAATGGTGAGTCATCACAAAATTGCCATTTGGTATCAAATTTTTAAGAACAAAATGGATTTGTGTAGTATTTATAAACTTTAGCAATATCTGAATACCGTTGAAAGGAATGTTATTTCCAGTAAAAATTTTAACAAGAAAATTCACTTTATCCTGAATGTTATGTTCTAATCAAATTTTGTATGCTCGAGCTAAAAAACCTTCAAAAACACCAACAGCAATATTCGGTGAAATAGATAATTTCGGTTTTATAAGTACGTTTGAGAAGGGAGTGATTGGTTGAAATACAATCATCTAAAAAATTTGTTTGGTAAAACAAGAAAAAAGTTGCAAATTTTAACAACAAACCTTTTTCTTTTTAAACAAACAAACCTTTTCTGTATTAAGGTACCTAAAAGTTTATAAAAGAATGGTAAGAAAAAGTTGCAAAGCAAATTCGTAGATAAATTCTGAATGGTTTAGTTCAGCATTCCACACAGAGTTATCTATAGATAGTAAACAAGTATTTAACAATTTGTTATAAATATTTTCTGATTTTTTTTATAGTATAGTTAATATAATAAAAGTATAATTTAAAAAAACGTCTTAGCTACTTTATGTAAGACAGCTATTTTCATGGCCAAACATCTTTGTAAAAACATTTAGCATTGTGCAGTATTTACAACAAGTTTTTTAACTTATGGTAAGTATTTATAAAGTTTATTTATAATTAAAAGTTAGAAAATTATCTAAAACAATTTACACATTAAAATGTTCTAAAAAGAGTTTCTGCAAGACAGTGTTGGAATGTAGTCTTTGTCATTCATTAATAACTTGAAAATAAATAAAAAGATTAGTTCCAAATTAGTTAATAATAAAAGATAATATCTTTTTTACCTTATACGTTTGATTCTTATCATAAATGAAATTTATAAAGTCTTGCTTCTACTATGAATTTTCTTTTATGGTTATATCATGATCTTGAATTTTGTCTACATAAATCTTGTATTTAGCTTTTGTGACCATTTTAGCGATGTTATAAGTCATTTAATAAATTATTGAATCCATTTTATAAAATAAACTCAATCTGGTCGAAAATAGAAAAAATGGGAAGAGGGTGAGGGGCAAAATATTTTTGGACTAGGCCAAAAATATTTTGCCCCTCACCCCCTTCCCATTTTTTCTATTTTCGACCAGATTGAGTTTATTTTATAAAATTGTTTCAATAATTTATTAAATGACTTATAATATCCTTTTTTTTTTTTTTTTTTTTAGCAAGCCAAATAATAGACCTAATCATATTAAGTATATTTATAGTTAGGGTAAAGTTTTTCTTATATAATATATAATATATAAGAAAAACTTTACCTTAACTATAAATATACCTAATATGATTAGGCCTATTATTTGGCTTGCTAAAAAAAAAAAAAAATTGTTGAAACACTTCCAAAAACTTTACTCTTTTTACCATATGTAAAAATTATAAATATTGTTTTATAAACAATTGTAAACAAAATCAAAATAAAACCTCTATTATAGATGTAACTCTTTATTTGAAATTAGTTTTCATACAATATTAATTTCAAGGGGTTATAGAAACCCTCTTAAAGAATTTAAAGATCTTTACCCGAGTGATGGTATACCACGTCGTTTGTATGGAGTTATAAAAGCCCACAAACCTGAAAAAAACCCTAACCCTAACCCCCCGACGCGAGTTATTGTAAGCACTATTGGAACGGCTACATGCAAAATTTCTAAATCCTAAAACTGATATGACACATCCCATCATCACATACACATTTAAAAAATGTGTATAATATGTAATAAATTTTTGAAAATTATAACATGTATGTGTTTTTTTTTTCATGCTTTTGTGGATCTTATAATATACATTTAAAAAACTCTCAACAATTTGTTAATTCATGGAATATTGACAAAGATGAAATCCAAGTGTCTTATGGTATGACTAATTTATATCCTTCAGTCCCAGTAAAGAAGCGATAAATATCCTTATTGAGAGTTTGAAAAATGATTCTAGTTTTACATCAAAATTTACCTTTGATTAAATAAAAGCACTTTTAGATATATATCTTTTGCATTGTTATTTTTTATTTGAACACAATGTTTTTGAACTATAAAATTCTGGACCTAATGGTTTAGGACTTATGGTAGTAGTTGCGGAGTGTTTTTTACAGTTTGATGAAAGAAAAGGTTATGCACAAGCGCTTTCCAATAATATTCAATTAAAGTCATTTAAAAGATATGTCGATGACTCCCATTCTCTTTTTAACTCAACTGAAAGATGAAATTTTTTGATATTATTTAACAACTAAGATAAAAATATTCAGTATACCATGGAAATCGAAAATGAAAATAACACGCTTAACTTATTTGACATTACTATTATTAACTACAAAACTGGTACGTACGATTTTAAAGTTTACCGTAAAGATGCCATAACTAATATCCAAATCAAACCTAACTCATGCCATGATCCAGAAATTATAAACGCAGTTTTCAAAGGTCTTGTTCATAGGGCATTAAATTTATGCTCTGATAATATTATTAAACAAGAGTTATTATTTCTAGTTGATGTTTTTGTAGAAAATGGTAATAAAAAACAAGCCAGGAAAAAATTTAAAAAAACCACTAAAGCAAATTTACATAATAAAAAACAAAACATTGAAACTCAACATTTATCAATTGCATCAAATAACATTGTATCTTTACCGAGTATTCCAGGAATCAGCCCAAATTTAATAAAAAGGTTTCAAAAAAGCAGGTTATACACAAGTCTTTAAATCTCCAAAAAATTTACAACATATACTTACTCGGCGCACAATGAGTCAGAAAGGTGAAAAAACGGCAAAAATTATATAACTATCATAAATAAACGTGTGATATATCAATCCTATCGTATTTTGGGTCAAAAAATTTAAATTTGTTATTGAAAATACTTTTTACGCGTACCTATGACGCGTACAACGCTTACGCGAAATGTCATTTACGCGCGCAAAGTATGGTTTAAATAAATAAATCGCATTCCTTGATCCAAAATACCATATAAAAAATACCACATATTTTTTAATGTAAATTTTTCTTGTGACTAAGGGTCGTACACGCGTATAAGACTCTAACACGTATACACGCGTATACGTGTTATAGTCTTTTACGCGCACAAAGACTTAGTTTAAAAAAATTAAATTATTCAAACCAAAACATATACTTATTAAAAAAAGAAAAATTGGATTCAAAAAATCTTTTAATATTATAATAATATTAAAGTATATTAAATACAAATTAAATATTTATCTCATCTAATTTTTCTTTCAAGAAAACAAAAAAAGAAAACCCAAAGTTAAAAAAAAGCTTTATTTCATTATTACAGCATTAACAAAGATAAAACTTCAGGGGTAAGTTTTTTTCCATTTTAAACCTTGTATTTTTTGAAACAAATGTTTGGATCACTTGCAGGATCACTTCTAATCAAGAGGTATTGGTACTGGTTTTTCATAACATTCTTTCTTGATATCTAGGCTGTATGGTTTAATCTAGCTTTGCGAATTTCCTTATTTAGAGCCTCTTGTGACTCTTCAGAGTAGTAACCAATTGGCAGTTCTAATACCTCAGATATCTGCACACCATGTTCCAAGAGTTTATGAACAGTTGGGGGAATCATATACCAGCAATAATTTTTGAGTATAAGAGCTGTAGTTTCATAGTAATACTGGCCAAAACTTTCTGAGTTTAACTCATAACAGGAGCATACTGATATTAGGATTGTCCTCAATCTAATAACTACATCTACTGACAAGTTTCAGCATTTTCAAATGCCCTTCTAGCAGTGTTTCCATCGTTAGGGTTGCCAAAACCCTGTTTAGGCATATCAACTATAAGACTTAGCTCCTCTCTAAACCTCAGACATAACCTCAAATATTATTAGAGTTTTCTTTAGATTTAACATTTTAGGTTTGTCAATACTTTCATAGTACAGACCCTCCAGTCTACAAAACTCACGTAGAAGAGCTTTGAGTAAATTATCATGATTAATTCCTAACTCTTAAATTATAGGGACTAAATGTATTCTTTTCATGTTTAATGTTAGCATTGCACTATTGTTAGTTATTTTACATGCAAGTTTGAATTTTAAAATATCTACTATAACATCAAATATTGCATATTTTGGTTTTGAGGTTTGATAATTAGCACCATCTGCTTGAGCAATTATTAATATAGTAATAGGAACTAAATGTATTATTTGTGTGATGAATGCAAGCAACGAATTATTGCTCGCTACTTTATGCGCAAGTTATAAATAAAAAGGGAAAAAAAAAATACAAAAAAAACGAAGTATTTTTATTTTTTCTGCTTTCATATATACCCATTAATGGGAAAATATTAAAACTACCATGGAATCTAGTGGAATCTTTTAGTTTTTGAACTAAACTCATAATTTAAATAATTAAAAAAAATAAATTTATGACATATTTTTGAGATCTAAGTAATGAAAATCTAAAATTAAAATTTACTGTTAAAAATGTTGTTAATAGTTACAAAACATCTTAAACATATGACTTCAAATTAAATTTTGAACTGTTTTTACCTTTATCAATCTTAAAAGAGTGACACTAAAGGCGGTTCTCCACTAGTCGAAAAATGTCGCGGCGGGCGAAATTTTTCGCTGCTCCACATGCGCAGCTGAGTCTGCAATACAGGGATAACAATTTCGCTGCGAAAAAAACCGCTCCGCAAAAAGTTTGAAATTTATTAACTTTTTGCTCATCGACTATTTATCGTTTTAAAACAAACCAATCACATTACTTAAGGCGGTTCTCTACTAGTCGAAAAATGTCGCGGCGGGCGAAATTTTTCGCTGCTCCACATGCGCAGATTAATCAAAATTTCGTGCCGCAAAAATGTGTCAATCTCCACATGAAAACAAAAGCGTTATTCGCTTTATCAAAAGTATTACAACTTTGCGATAAAAAAAGAAGATGGAAAAGTTAAAATTGTTACTTCTTCTCAGAAAGATATACACGAATATTTATATATGGCAAAGAGAAAAAAGAAAAAAGAAAAAAAAACGTTTTTGGATTAGAAAGATTTACAACGAGAGAAAGTTGAAGGGGGAATAACAAACTCTTATTAATGATTTGACACTTTATGATCATGAGATTTTTTTCAAATTTTTTCGAATGTCTCCTTCATCTTTTGAAAGACTTTTACAAATTGTGGCTCATGATATAACAAAAAATAATACGAAAATGCGTAAACCTGTTTGTGCACAAGAAAGGCTTGCTATAACAGTAAGGTATTTGGCAACTGGGGATGCACAAACTACAATAGCTGCTAATTATTGAATGTCACCAACCACTGTTGGCAGAATAGTTCATGAAACTTGTAATGCTATTTGGAACAACTTGTTACGAGAATACGTAAAAACGCCTAATTCTGAAACTGAGTGGGAAAAAATTGCCTACGAATTTGAAACCAGATGGCACTCTCCACACTGTGTTGGTGCCATTGATGGTAAGCATGTTCGAATGTTTGCTCCAGCTCGATCAGGATCAAGCTATTTTAACTATAAAAAGACACATAGTATAGTATTGATGGCTGTCTCTGATGCGAAGTACCGTTTTATTCTGGTAGATATTGGTGATAGCGGCAGACAAAGTGATGGAAGTGTTTACAACAATAGTCAATTAGGATTTGCCATAGAGAACAACCTTTTAAAAATTCCAAAAGATTCAAAAATATCTAACAATTCTAATAAAATTTTGCCCTATGTTTTCGTTGCAGATGACGCATTTAGATTGAAAAGACACATGATGAAGCCCTATGCTTTTAAAAATCTTTTAACAGATAAACTTATTTTCAACTATACATTTAGTAGAGCGCGAAGAGTTGTTGAAAATGCCTTCGGTATTGCATCAAGTAGATTTCGTGTTTTTCATAAACCAATTATAGCTAATGTTGAAAATGTTATTGCAATAACAAAGGCTGTAGTTGCTTTACATAACTTTTTAATGACTGAAAATGTAAATAATAATAATAGTTATTGCCCTTTAAACTTTGTTGATCAGGATGGACCGAATGGAATACAACTTGGTGATTGGAGAAAAGAGGTACCTAGTGTTAATGGTTTAGTAGTTATAAACAATACATCAAATAACTACTCTGAAACTGCAAAAAAAGAAGGGATTCTTTTAAAGAATTTTTTAATCAAGAAGGTGCAGTAGATTGGCAATTAGATATTGTAAAGCGAGTAAAATGAAATTAAACAAAAGTTTATTTTGATTAAATATAATAATTACATTTTTGTTTTTTATCTTTAAGAGAAAATAAATAGAACTAATAAAATAGAACTTATAAAATTCTAAATGTCTTCATACTCAACTCCAAATTCTATTTCAAATAAAAGTTGATTTATTTTTAACTTAGCTAGTATTGCTTTTTTTATTGGTAATCCTTGCAGCACAGGAATAAGACTATTACAAAAAGCAGACATTTCACAGACTGTTTTGTTTTTTTCTTCTAAAGAATCGATTAAACGATTGTCCAGATCTTTCATTTGCTTTAAAAAAAGGTTATCGGATTTTTCTATAACTGATTTTCGCTTTTTGTTTATACGTAGATCTTTACATTTCTCGCTCGAATCATCTGCAGGAATGGAAAGATCTAAACATTTTTTTAGATTATCTTTCAAATTCTTCAAAGTTTTTTGTAGAACACATACTAAATACAGAATGTATGAATTTATTAAATGTTAATCAAACACAAAGTTATATATATATATAAGTATATATACATATATGTGTATATACATAAATTATATATTATATGTATATGTACAAACACAAAATAATATATATACATATATATATATATATATATATATATATATATATATATATATATATATATATATATATATATATATATATATATATACATATATATATATATATATATATATGTATATATACATGTATATATATATATATATATATATATATATATATATATATATATATATATATATATATATATATATATATATATATATATATACATATATATATATATATATATATATATATATTATATATATATATATATATATATATATATATATATATATATATATATATATATATATATATATATATATATATATACATACAGTGGTTTTCATAAATTTAGACGCACTCATATTTGAGAATAGAAAATTTTAGGTATTTTAACGATAAAACAATGACGAAAAAAGATTTCGGTTTAGTTTTTTTTCTATTTATCAGATAAATACATACAGAATACAAAATTTAAAAAAAGTTTACAAAAAAAATGAAATACTAAGTAATAATTAGGTACAACTACATGGTATTAAAAAAATTAGACAAAAAAAATTATTCATAAATTTAGGCGCACGATACATTAGAAGGCGTAATTTATGAACCAATCAATATTTTGTGTATCCGCCTTTTGCTTTAATACAACTAAGAACTCTTCTAGGCATAGACTCAACAAGATTTTTGCACATCGCTTCTGGGACCCCAGGTCTCCTTTAGGAATTCCTTCAGCTGACCAAGTGTTGAAATTTGAACCTTTGCTAATTCACGATCAATCCAAGCCCAAATGTTTTCAATCAGGTTCAAATCAGGTGAATATGGAGGCCACGGTATTGTCATAATATTATTATCGTTGAACCACTCCTTTGTATAGTATGCAGTATGTGCAGTAGCGCTATCTTGTTGAAGTTTCCATGGTTTATCATTGAGCATAAGCAGGTCAATTGATGGAATTAGGTTGTTTTCCAGTACTTCTACGTATATTCTGGAGTTGATTCTTCCGGTGTATGTTTGGCACATACCAACACCTTTGTAATTGAAGCATGACCAGATTCCTATCGAGCCTCCTCCACTTTGTACAGTTGATCTAATGTACCTGGCGTAATACTTTTTGTGAGCCATTCTTTTGACTGTTATGTTAGATTTGCGATTGATAAGCTCAAAGTTACTCTCATCACTCCACATAATGTTTTCCCATTGATCTATTGTCCAATACCTTCTTTCACGACACCATTTTAGTGTCGTGAAAGAAGGTATTGAGAAAAAAAGAGACTCATTTAAAAAGTTTCAGAAACAGGCAGTCACCATTACATCGATTTCTATTCGGATATAAGCGATAACAGTAATGTTGCTGCTAATATTAACACAATTTATATTTTCACAAAAAATATTGGTAATACTTTTTGTGAAAACTTTAGTGGATTGACTTTTGATATTATAAAAAATCAGTTTAAAAACAATACCTCACTTCCTAAAGGGCAAAGGTATACTGATGAAATTAAAAAATTTGAAATAACTCTACATTTTTACTCACCTAAACCATAAAATTTTCTACGGCCTATACTCCATTTACCTGCTTCAAGCGCTTTAGCCAACTGGACTTCTATTGTAGATTGTAAAACTGGTTTTTTTTGAAGATGTTTTAAGTTATATTAATATAAAAGCAGTGGCTGATATTAATTATAAAGATTATGCATTAATTATAGATGCAATGGTAATCAAAACATCAGTTCTAAGTGATAAAAAGGCAGGTTGATTCATAGGCTTTATAGATTATGGAAAAGATATTGTCGCAATTAAACCAGCTACAGAAGCATTGGTATTTATGCTGGTAGGATTACAAGGTCGTTGGAAAACACCTATTGGCCTTATGCTGTGTAGTAAAATAACAACTGAAAACCTTTCATGCCTTATTAAAAAAGCATTAACAATTTCTTCTGAAAAAAAAAATTAATGTAGTAAAATTACATTTGATGGTGTAAGTGTTAATTTTAATTTTGTTGCATCACTAGGATGTACATTTGGGAAAAGACTAGAAAAAATTAATGGACAATTTACTTTTGAAGGCTATTATCACTACTTGTATGGAATCCCTGACCCAAGTCATTTGCTAAAATTAACTAGAAATGTGTTATGTGATTTAGAGCGACTTAAGGATTGTAATTTTTAAATAGCTCTGGATTTATTGTAAGAAGATTATTATAAGATAACATGTTCTATGTGTGCAAACTCACACAAAACAATTTTGTGGAATATTCTTATAGAGCATCAGTTCTTTCATTGATTAACATAAAAAATAGGAATGTGCTTATTGCTCCAAAAAATGGTGTTATACAAACTATAATAGTATATGAGAGCGTTTTCAAAATTTATGTCAGCAATGACAATTTCAAAAAACCAAAAATGAATATGGAGCGAAATCTTAAACTGAAAATGATTTATGCAGTTAATAAAATTATTATTGAAAAACATTTTTTTTAAAGACCTAAATGAACACAATGCTGACCATGAAGCTGTTACCGAAGACATGCATTGCACACAACTAATAAAAATGTTAGCAAATGACTTTTTTACAATCAGACTGCAAAGATATGGTCAATTATATACAGAAAAGTTGGTCTATATATAAATAATGATTGGTCTACGTCAACAATCAAATAAATTAATTTTATTCAAAGGTTTATAGCATAAATATATATATATATATATATATATATATATATATATATATATATATATATATATATATATATATATATATATATATATATATATATATATATATATATATATATATATATATATATATATATATACATATATATATATATATATATATATATATATATATATATATATATATCTATATATATATATATATATATATATATATATATATATATATATATATATATATATATATATATATATATATATATATATATATATATATATATATATATATATATATATATATATGAAAATATTATAAATAAAAATATTAAATTAAGTGTTATTAACTGTTACTTTTCTTGATTTGTTGTTTAAATTGAAAAACTTGCTTTTCAAAGGAAATATATTCTTTATATACCTGAATACCTATAAAACTTTTTTTGTGTTGAAAACCTTACTAGATTATAACATAACATTGAATGAAATTTATTTAACTGATGGTAAATCAATTATAGAATGAAGTAATAATGATTTTTATGATAACAAGAAGTATTTAACCATAAATAAAATTCTAACATTTCTAGAAGGAACCTCTAAGTTGTGTCACACAGAACTTAGTTAATAGTCAAGACAGTTTTATAAAATGTTTCATTACAAGTTTTAACTCTGTTTACCTTGCAGTTATGTTATAAAACCTACTAGCATTACTGCAGAGGGTAATTAATGACTAACAGGTGCATAAAATGTTAATAGATTAAAGATTAAAATCCAACTAAATCTAAGATTTTAGCTGAATGTTAAATTTTAAAATCATTCAAACTTAAATTTTAAAATAAAAAAAATGAAATAAGTATGATTTTGAAATGTTTAATAAAAACAATGCATGTTTACATAATTATTAAATTTTAAATCAAAATAAAAATAACATCAAGTTTTTCAGATATCTGTGTATCGATTTTTTATTGATTACATTTTTAAACAATTTTAAGCTTCATATTTGTTTTGTTTTAATTAATAGCGTAAAGATTTTGCCCCCCCCCCCCATAATGGCCGATTTTTGCTTCACTTTTTCTTATACCGATTTACGGCAGTTAGACATCTAGTTATTCTTAATATATCATTGGTCATTTCAAACATTTAAAAATCTTCATACGCCACTGGGTTTTATCATCGGTATTATTTTACTTACTTTAACTTTTAAATAAATATCATTTTTTTAAGTATCAATCTTATTCTAACTGTTACTGATAACATAAAGCAGTAGTAAGAGATTGCCGATTCTGGGACATTTTCATTTTCAACCATATTTTCAACCATATATTTTAAAAAATATAGGGTTCAATGTTAACCCTATTGTGTATAAATTATTTAGATAAGAAATTTTTTCAATTTTTAAAAAAATTGAAAAATTGAATTTTTTTAAATAAGTGTTAATTTTTTATTTCTTGTCGAAAAATGACGTCACAGGTCACGTGACTTTTTATTTTTGAAAAAGCTGACTGCCTGTATGAGTCAAAAAATCACAAGATGAAGATGAAGTTAAAAAAAAACCCATAGTTCCAAAAGCTTTTCTAATTCTATAACTAGTATCAGACCTCTGCATATCTTCACGGAAGTATTGCTTAATTATATCAACTGATTCGCGAGTAATCTTACTAACTAACAAATCCTCATGAAAAAAATGACGATTATATACCTTAGGAGCCTCTCCTGGAACAGCATCAATTTTTACACAAACTTCTTCACCAGTAGCTGCCTTTTCCTGTTGTTTATGATTGGCTTTAATTCCAGTCACAAAACCAAGCAATAAATTGTTTTGACTAG